CCCCCGAAAAGTTAAAAAACAAAACAAAATTTCCACTAAAACATCCGCTTCCTAATAAGCCGATATAACATGCTGAGCTCAGGCTGAGGAAAGACACCCGATAATCACTGATAATGAATATCAGACGCTTTGTTAACAAGTCTGCTTCTCTGCTGCTGTCCATCTGAGACCTGGGTCAGAGAGTGACATGCACTATGTGAGTCAGCCTAAATGAGTGTGTGTGTTTGACACCAAATGAATAAATCATGAGTGTGCCAAACCTAATGGGCACTGGTCAAGGTCTGACTCAGTATTTTTAGCCCGACTACTTTACTCGGCACGTGCCTTCTATCTACCAAATATACGAGAGCCCAATCGATTCTTGATGGGAAGCCGAGCTCCGGGTGAGGGGGTGGGCGAGGCAATGCTATTCCTTTTGGGTAGATAAGAGGATAAAAATCCTTTCAGCAGGCAACCACAAGTCTTGAAGGACGGAAGAAATCTTGCATCCAGTTGTTTTCCATAATTGCTTTCTAGTTTATGGGCCCGAGAAAACTGGGAGACAAGGCCAGATTTACAGCCCAGCCCTGACTAGCCAAAGGGGCCCTGAAATGCAACACTCCCCCTTAAATCGCACACGTGCGTGCGTGCACATCAAAGCAGCACCTTCAACCAGCCTTGAACAGTTATAGTCCGATTCAAAGTAGTCTGCTCTTGATTTATGCTTCCTTTAAAGCAGCGATCAGCTTTTTTTTAAAACCTTTTTTTAATTCAAGCCTTGTGAAGATAACATGCTTCTTATGCTTTACACTTTCACATGCACACACATTCTTCTGATGTGTTTCTTTGCAAGAGATGCACAGGGGCTATGTTTTGCTAGCACCACTTGTCAACTTTGTTGTACAGAGCTGACCATCACGTCCTGTCTTCAAACAACACCATAATTGCAATTTCCAAAATTAGAAAATATTTGTCAGGAAACACATACTTCACACATCTTGCTAAACAAAAAAAAACCCCTGCATGCGCCTTTCTCCGTGTCCTCTAGAAAACCATACCCTTACCACTTTACTGCAGTCACAAAGAAAACAAAACACGCCTTGAAGAAGAGCACTTCAAGGACGATCCCTCCTGAGATCTTGTAATCAGACCTCCTGTATGCTTTTCAATGAAATGCTCGAGTTTGAAGAGGGAACATTTCAAACCCTTACAACGGGTCTCCGACAGAGGAGAGAATCGCGGTGCAGCCAAATTCCAAAGATGCTTAGCAGAACACAAGCTCGGGCTCGTCAGTGTTTGATGCACTAAAGGCTCACTCCCACGGACATTCACTCACACTTGTGTGTGCGCCGGTCACTCAGCGCACTCCCGAAAAAAAAAGAAAAGAAAGAAAGGCATGTGCACAACTCGCAGATCCTCTGCCCTCTTCCCTCGACACTCACTCTCTCGCTCCCCTGCTCACCATCAAAGTTTGTTTACATTTGTGGGGTAAGTTTTACAGGTTACATCTAAAACTCCCACACAGCACGCACTCTCTGTTTCATTATATAAGCTCTATCAAAGCTGCACTCGCTAGATTTTCTGTCAGTTGTGGAAAATGCAGCTGCTACCATTAGGCCGAATTCTTTTATTCTACAGAGAATTCTGCAACTATATTTAACACCTACTCTGACAGCCTGTCCTGAGGGACACTTCCCATCAAAAAATAAGGCCGTGACAGCATCCTGTGGTAGTCATAATGCACAGTGCAAACACCTTATAGGAGCTGCTGAGCACGGTGGTGGAGATGTGATTATTTGGGCTCGTTTTGCAGTTGTTGAACTGACCATGAATGCCTCTGTATACCAAAGCATTCTGAAGTCAGATATGAGGCCATCTGTCTGAAGCTTGACTAAAATTGGGTCATGGTACAGGATAGCGATCCAGGCATGGCAGCAGATCTACAACAGAATGACTGAAAAAGAGAGTGTCGCAAAGGCCCAGCCAAAAGTCCAGTGTTCAACCTGCCTGAAATGCTGTGGTAGGACCTCCAGAGAGCAGTGCAAAAATAAATCCCTGCACATGATAATAAACTGAAACAACATCCGAAAGAAGAGTGAGAGACTGATAAAGTC